GCTTTATAGATCCAGGCTCAGAATATAATCTGCCATAATTGCACACCTTGTAAAGACTGTCAGCTAAGTACCCAGGCTTATCAAACATTGCTCTTTTCGGCATTGTTTTCAACTTCTGTTTAGGATACAGTCACATGCAGAGGATGTTGTAGTGTTGTGTCAAAAGCAAGGTCTCACAGTAGTGAAATTTGCCTAGTCTAGAGGTTATTCAGTTTTGATCCATGCCAGAGAAGGAAGAAGCTTTCAGTGTTGCTGTGGCTTGTAGGTGCACACATTGTAACAGAAAGAATATAACTCGTATGGATGCTACTATATCTGACATGTCAATCTGTTTTGTTAGACTGTTACAACATTTTTCTCTGTATTTCCAATAGTTTAGGGTACATACATGGTTTTTAACTGCACAGCTGATGATTTATGAAATGTATGTATTCATCAAAAGTATTCCTTGCTATCTTGGCTCTTCCCACTGAAGTCAAGGATAGAACTTCTTGTGGGAGGAGAAGGTTAATGCTGAGTGATTTGAAAATCCTATGACCTTATGCATGTTAATGAGAATAGAAATGAACAGCAAAAAGCAAGATTCTCTACTAATGGTAAGAATTAATCCTTGCATGTTTTGTGGTTTTCTTCACATTTCTTTTGATGTCTTGCAACATTAAAAAAATATTCTAATAGCTACTTTTACAATACAAATGTACATGCAAAGAAGAATTCCACTTTCTGGACCAGTCTTTTCTCCCTCTGCCAGCAAGGAAATGAGAGGTCAATTAAATTGTATGCTAATACCTTTTTTATTTGACTAAATGGAAAAATAAAATGCAGGCAGAATTTCAAAAGACACAGCCTTTTAGCAGGCCAAGGAAAGGGGACAAAGGAAAGCAACAGATAGAGGGGAAGATCTCCAACAAACTAACCTTTTTTGCTCTCCATGTTTCTTCTGTGAAATTGTTTTTAATTGCTTCATGGCTTCACTTTCTCTGCAGCTGTGCCATTACATTTGGGCTCCTTGACTCTAAAATTCTGTGGCGTCTATACGAGGAACTAGCACAACAGTCTTTAGCGTTGGAATTGCATTTGCCCCCATCTATCCAAGGAGGCAATACTTACTATGTCAGTACTGAAGTAATTGAGAGTTCTTGGAAGGCTCTTTAGCACTCTGCCTTACCTGTTATACTACTTAAATTTTACATGGTCCTACCTAGACTTGGTATGTTGCCAGAGTAACAGATGTTCCAGTAACTGCTGTTTATTTTACTTAGTAATGGTTGTTCATAGATTTTAGAGCATCACCTATATGAGATGCTGTGTACTTTAGAATTTATATTATTATTGCCATTATGTGTTGCTAGCATCATTGTCATTGTAAGTTTCAGTATCTACAGCCTCCAATAACCGATCCAACACGTAAAAAATCAAGTCCTTCAGATTTAATTTATATTTGCATGCCATTACAAGGTGAACCTCACCAGTATCGGTACACTGGCATCCTACCTGTTTTTTCCCATATTTCCCAGTTGGAATGCATATGCAGCTCACAAGGAGTATCAGTGGCACGCTGTAGGAAATGTCATCATATACCTCATGCTTTTCTGTTCTTATATCTTAATTACTAAATAAACTGGTGTTTGTAAGGAAAATAATACAAAAAATGGAGAAGAGAAGACTTGAATTGTGCTTGTTACACTTTGAATGTATTTTCTTGGAAAATAAAGCTTTTTTTGTCATATTCTGAGGTCAAAAAGTGAAATTTGTAGAAGAATAATATGCTTCACACTCTGAATCTCTTGATAAGTAACATACCAGTAAATAGTCAAGGACCTATTAAGAAGTTAATTAATTATATGGGAACTAATAAGGAGGAACACAAGGCATATCAAGTGGGAAGGTGAGTGCAGTCCTCTTCTGTCAGACTCTGGTCTCTGCCAGTAGTCTGGTGCACTCCTCAAAATTGGAACAGACATTAAAAAAGAAATCTTAAAGCTTTGAGATATTTAAAGCAAAAAACCCCACCCTTAAAACTCAGCCAAAACAACAGTTAACAAGTACTTTGGGTCAGAAGAGGGAAAAGGTCCAGTAAGCAGTTTAGGTAACACTTCCAAGTGTAATCAAAGTAGAAAAATGAAATAACTAATTTTGTTTCCACCATTTAGGTCAATGACTGTGAGATACAGAAAAAATACATGCATTCTCCATAGGGAGTTGGAGAAATGGTATTTTATTTTGCCATGAGGCTCTTGCAATGTGTTAAAAGTTATGTCAGCATAGTTGGATGTAGTGATCTAGTGAGGTAGTCAAAGATCTTCAGTAAAATCAATTTGTCACAGGATTCTGTAGTAGTAGCTACTATGAGTGTTTAAGTACATATATGTGTGTAATACACATGCAGGAGTGTATGTATATCCATACAGTTTGCTATAATGTCTGGGTTCACAATTTACACTACAGCTTTGCTTTTCCTCTGTTATGGCAGGTCACAGTTTGGTCCCTCGTGGTGGTTTCTTCAGGCAATTATATAGTAGTTGCCAGATTTAGACAATTGTAAAATGACCAAGAACTGGTGCACAATGGTAATATGAATAAGAATAACCGTATTGTTATGTAATAATAACAACCGTATAGCCATAACATAAAAACAGTTATGTTTTTTTTTTCAGATTTTAACCTGTAGTATGCAATTTGACAAATAAACTGATACAATGCAGTGTTGATATTTCCTTTCTAAACTTAGCGTTTCTGCTTGCTTACAGCTGGGTTTTAATTCCTGTAAGAACAGGGCTAAGAATACTGTGGGATGGATTCTGACTATGCAGCTTTAATTGCAATGTCAGTAATATTCCCCTAGGAAAGGAGAGCGTAGTGCTACCGATGCATCAGTACTTGCAAGAATAAAGCATTTGAAAATATTTAGTCCTGCTTGTAGAGCAGTCCTTCCTACTCCAGGGAAGGCTAAGGCCTGAGAAAGCTCCAGTCCTGCATTTTCATTGCAGGTTTTAATTTCTCATGTCAGCTCATGATGTCCATATACACAAAGTTCTGAGTAGGTCCCTGCGTGTCCAGATATGGCTGTCAGTACTGATTATGGCAGTCGTCTTTGTCTTTCCTGTTTCGTATCATCTGGGGGTTAGGAAGCTATCAGCTCTTCATTTCTGGAAATTGGTTTTGCCTCATGTTAAGCCATATATTGTTATGTTAGTAAGCACCATGTAAATGAATAGATAATAAACACTGTGCTGAGACTGTTTTTTTTCATATTGCCAAAATGGTCCCAGCCAAGCACTGTTAGTCATTACTTTTTCCATCTTTACCTTTTGAAGGCTGATTTCCTGTAAAACTTTTCCATTTCCACTACAGGTTTTTATTGTTTGGCATATTTTGTTCATATATTCAACATACATTAACATGTTTACATAAGAATAGGTCCTTGCTGATAATCAACAAGCTACCAGATATAAAACATAAATGAAAACCAGGGTATTGGAGTATTTTTTTGCCCCTGAGTACTCCTTCTGAGTTTCTCTGACTTTATTCCACCACTCAGTGCATGTTGGGGTAGCATCTTGCTTCTGCAACCCAAGAGCATCTGGCCGGGTTCGACCTGGTCCTTGTCACAGGCACTCTGGAGCAAATGAGAAGGATCTCTGTAGACACTTAATTTCCTTGTCTCTCATGCTCTACCAATGGATATATTCCTCCTGATCATTCCCTCTTGGTCAAAAGCAAAAGCAAGGCTGGCTTCTGAATTTGAGACTCTCATGTGGTGGAATAAAGAACTAGATTCTGATTCCTGTGCATGTTTTTGTGTGTGTTGTAGGAAACACTCTTTTAATAGATCAGAAATATTGAATATAGTCACATAATTTCTGAGATTATTCTCTTGATATTGAAATAGAAATGCAAGACTGTTAATTTGCTTGCTCTAGAAAAGTTCAATTCAGTGTAATAAATGTTTCCTCTTTAATTATCAGAATTAGTACTTTCAAGAAGACAGCAATTTAGGCTCATCGAATTTCAAAATGGATAACATTTTTGGGGGGTAGGTTTATTAAAGCAGATGGTGTCTGGGGAGGGACAAAAGATCTGAAGATCAGGTTTGCTTCAGATAAGCACCTAATTGTTCAGAGGCATTGCTGGAATTTAACAAAGTAATTGCATAATAGGTAAAAATCTTTGAGACCATATGCTTTTACTAGGATTACCACTTCCTAGATAATATTTTTTAAACAGTCAGAAGGGCGGGTGTGCATGAAACATGTAACTTTTCATTTCAGAGCATCCAGAGCAATTATATTCTTCAACTTCAGAGGGAGCATCCAGTGCTGAATAGAGACATAAACTGTCTTTTTAAAAAATTACCATAACTGGCTCTCATGTCCTTAGCAGGGATGTCATGTTTAGGGAAACCATGATTCCCTCAGGACTGGTTCCTCATTTACTACTTGAAAAAATTATATGTCTCAAGGGAGCTTCTAAAGGCATCTACAACTCTCTTTTTCCTTCTAGTCTCATTTGTTTTGGTATTATGAATCCTACAACTCCCTAATGTACCATGTGAGGTTGCTGAAGTACATGCTCTTGCTGCAGCTGAGATGTGAAGGAAGGGATGCTTGTTTAGGGATTACTACTGCCCCTTCCTCAGATGTTCCAGCCATTTCAATGCAGGCTTTACATCCAGATTTTCTTGTTTATCTGGCAGTTCATTATTTAAGGTCAGCCTGTCAAAATAGGTTACATATTCTTTGGGAAACATGGTCACATCCTTGAGACACCACAAATATGTTTAATACAAAAAGATTGGCTTGATAAAAGAAACATGATAAACTTGCATCCCCCAAAATACTTTTCTGCTGTTCCATGTAGATTTCTGAGCACATCAGTATGCAATGACAAACCTCATGGTAATAAATGCCTGGAAAAGGCATAGAGAGACACCAGCAAAGCAGTGAAAATGATTGCTGATGATTTGTTCTAACTACTTGACCTTGTGACATCTCCCCCAGATATATGACCAAGATGGGACACTGCAGCACTTTATTGATGGCGGAGAACCCAGTAAGTCAAGCTGGATGAGGTATATCCGATGTGCAAGGCACTGTGGGGAACAGAATTTAACAGTGGTTCAGTACAGGTAAAGTATGTTTTGATTTACTCAGTGCAACAAAATGAAAATATTTTTAGTGAAAAGTCAGACTGTAAGTGTCACCAGTACTGTTGCCGTTGATAGCAAGGACAGTAGCAGGGCGTCTGTGAACGTGCTCATCACTCGGGGCAGTAGAAGAGCTACAGAGTGTAGTAAGGATGGGTTTAGCTTTGGTTGTCTTGAGCTGAGGCCATCGTGGTAAGCATGCCAGACCCAGAGCTCCAGGGAACAAGTGCGGCCCTTTGTCACCTCTGAGACCACCACACTGCGCTGAGCCCTTTGCCTGTTTTTGAACGGTCTGATCAGAAGCGAGCCAGCGCGAGCAATCTTCTGCCCTTAACAAAGATGCATGAGCTAGAGGAAGGGGAAAAATGGCAGGAGAGGAGTTTTGAACCCAAAGGCTTTCAGAGAGCCAGTCATGGGACACGTATACGCCTCTGTGGTGAGTGCACCTGCTAGCCCACATTGCTTGTGCTTATGCCTCTTAAGTCACTGGCTAGGGAAGGTCAAAATGTGAAGAAAAATGTAAAGAAATTGCGGTGCACTTTACTTTGTACTCGCAAACAGATCCAGAAAACCCAGACAATGCATTACATAAATACATGATCTCAGCTATAAACAAACCTCTTGCCTCAGAATCAGAAGCAACTGCTTGGCCTTATTAAACCTGGTAGGAAGCACATCAAAGAATGCCCCGGGCTTGCCAGTCGCAATGAGCAGTCCCGATTTTCACTAGTTGCTTTAGAGAATGGGGTTTCTTTTCTTTCGGAAGAATCTTAAACTTATTTAAAGTACCTTTAAAATTAAAAATAAAACATACAAAAGCAAGCTAAAATGAAATATATATAAAGTTTGACTATCCCATAGGGTTCCAATTTAACAATGGTAAAATTGTTCAATTGCATTTTCAGCTTTTTTATTCTCTGGCCAGTTGACTAAATAATGCCACAGTTAAAAAAATAACAATCCTATTTATACATTACAAATCTTTTATTATACCCTTAAATATCTGATATCTATAACCAAAATCCCATTGGATTTTAAATAAACACACTGGATAATGAATAAAGATTGCTGTGATGAAAGAGTATTTTTGTAGGTACCTTGTGAACTATTTCTCAGTGTGGTGGTGTGTCTGCGCACATATATACATAAAAATAAGAAAAAAAAATACGCCTACATATATAGAGATGACAAACCTAAATGAAAAGTGAGCATGAGAAAGTCATTACACATCTGTCAATATTAAGTGGATTTTACAACTCTCCTTTCATGATGGAGTTTTTACTTAGAGTTCCCTCTGTTGATCTGTTTTCGATTACTTCAGATCTTTATAAAATGAACTACAAAAACACAATTTAAAAAACTGGCATCCATCACCAGTGACTGCATCCAAGTGTAAGAAAATAGAAAAGTTGGACACTGAAAAACCGGCCTAATTTTTATTGTACATGGACGTCCTCCTCACAGAAAGTCAGCTGGTTTAAATTCGTTCTGTTATGATTTGTAATATCTAAATGGAATTTTCTTCAAAGTGCTCTTGATTGATTGACCCTTAGCTGAACGTTTTGTTTTTATTTTGAGGCTGACAATAATGTTTGTTGGCATGTGTTCTGCTTCAACTGCGTTGGGACGCCATGAAGCTATCTTTATGAGTCATCCAACCACAATACTAAATACATGTCAGCAAAGGAAATATTATCCGAAAAGGGAAAAATCCCTTTGATGTACTTCAGCATGCAGAGATTTCTGCGAGTTTTGGAAGCTCTGCACGCTTGTAAGGGACGGTGTACGCTTACACTTTTTTTTCCCTGCCTACTCCAAGCCTCACAGACCACCCATTGCTCAAAAACAGTTCTGCTCTTTCAGCGGCAAAGTGTGTCATTTGGTTTTAGCACATTCATTTGCTGGGCTGCTGTGTTTATGTTAAGGGAAGCCAAACTGAGAGATGAAATGTTACAAGGGTGAAGTACAAAGTAGACTCAATTTTTCTCAAGTTAGGAGATGCTGGTAATTTATAGCGTGGCTCCTATTTTCATTTTTATGTAACAGTGGAAAGAATTAACAAAATACGCGGCTCTGGGAAGAAAGAGAGGGAGAAGAGGAGGGAAGGAGAGGGGGAGACACAAAGGGGAGAGTTTTTGTCAGATATTCATAGAAGGGTAGGAAAACCATTCTGCTTAGCTAGCAGTGCCCTCCTGAGACAGGGTGGCAGTAAGTGAGGAAAATAACAAGATAAATGAAATTTTTGCAGCTGCTAGTAAAATATTGAGAATCTGCACTTTTTTATTGATCTTTATGATCCTGTTGCCAAGAGCCACTTTGCGGTGACAAAATATGTTGACAAGTGCATATCTCACTGCCATGAAAAATGTGGTAAAAGATTCTCCTTATGTCTGCAGTGTTATACAAGGAACAAATTGCATTGCTACAGCCAATTCTTTATAGAAAGTCTAAATTTAAGGCCTACCAACCCTAAACACTTTTATCTTGAACTTCAGGCTAACGTTTGCAGCAATTCTTCACTCAGAAAGCCAGTTGAGGCCTAACATTTTTTTTTTTTTTGGTCTATAGATGTTTTTCTGCCTTACATAAGCTGTTATAAAAAATGGTCATTTCTTGGTACTTTGACTGTATCATTTTGGTATGTAATCCTTCAGCGAGAGTGGAGTGTTCTTCTTTTGTATATTGAATTTCTATCCGTCTCACAGGAGTGTGTATTACTGTTCCACATGAAGCCTGAAGGAAAAGCCACTACAAAGCGATAACATTTTTATTTTATCTTGTGCCCGATTCTAATCTTACACGGTTTTTGCCTACATGTAAATCTGTTAACTGCACAAGTATGACTCTGAAGCTATTTACACCAGTGCAAGATCAGGATAAGGGTCTTAGTTTTAGGTTAGAGACTAAGATTTTTCCTTTTTTTCCCCCCTCAGCTCCCAGTTCAGTGGTCTGGGAATATCCAGAGTCTTTTCCCACAGAGTGATGTGATAAGATATCACATTTGCAGTAACACTAATTTATATTTAGTGAATTATTGTCGATGTTACCCTCATGTTCCATACAGGGGAAGATCTTATGGTCGTATGTTCAGATTAACCTCATTTTTTTTGCTTCCCTAAGCCAAAGTCTATTTTTCTCAACAATCAAAGATCTCTCTTTTTGATGGTGTACTGCTGTAATGAAAGGCCATGTCACGCTACTTCAAACCTCTTCCTAAAAGAACCTATTCAGATGAAAGAACTGTTCTCTATTTACACCTAAAATGTGTTAACTTTAGCTTAGATGACAAATGCAAAGCTGTTTAAACGGCTGAACTTACTGAACTGTGTGCACCACTCTGATGCTTGCACTGTGTGAGCAAAATGTAGCATTTCTAAAATCACTTTTAAAGAGACATTGCAAGAAAAGGTATGTCTTTTCATAAAATCTTGGTTCTTGTAAAACCTTAGTGTTTAAAATATGCTATGTACAAAAGTTCCCATAAGCTCTTTTTTACTCTGTGCTACAGGAACAAAGTCCTTCCCTAATGATAGGTCTGGCTTTAAAATATTCAGGAAGTTACTCATTTAGTTATCTTTAGGAATGCTTCCAAAACAATGAATTTCTACTCTAATACTGTGTGTGATAAAAGGAGAATGCTCTGTTCCTAAATCAGGTATTTTTTTTTGTTTTTCTTTTGATTAGGTCAAATATATTCTACCGGGCTTGTATAGATATCCCCAGGGGCACCGAGCTGTTGGTGTGGTACAATGACAGCTACACATCTTTCTTTGGAATCCCTCTCCAGTGCATTGCACAAGATGAAAATTGTAAGTTCTTCCTTGCATTTCTACCTGTGTAAGCCAGAATTCCTGTTGCATACCTAGTCAGCTATATTCCTAGAGTATTTAAAGACATATTCAATTAAAATATTTTAAATAGATATTTATGGTAAGCTTGATGTGTACAAAAAAAACCCCCTGAAGCTGATATACTTAAGCTGTTTATGGTTACCTAAATAAATGGAGGTGCTTGGAAGTGTGCAGGTATGTGCAATTAAATAGTAGATTTCCTGCCATAGCAGACCCACACAGCTTGGTAGTGCGTAGAATCACTCTTCCTTACAAATGTTTCGTTCCTAGTCTATTCTTAACCAATTTGCTTGGCCCTCTCCATTGCTATCAGACCTATCACAAGACACTGTCTTGCCAAAACAGTAATGCTTTGCAGGTCCACGAGGCCTCTGTTAGTGATTCTTCATTCTATTACCACTGAGTACGTCGAGAAAGGCTTTGTCCGATTGTAGTCCTGAGCTCCTTGTGGTTGAAAGGTAAAAGCCAGCTTCTTTAAATACATACTGAGTGTAAGTAGCCTGAAATGACAATGAACCTCCATTGCATCCTGGCCATCCCCATTTCCATCCACTCTTCTCCCCCTTCTCAATATTTATTTTTATTTTGCTAGGATTCATCACAAAATTAAGCATGGAATTTAAAACACAGATCCAGTGCAATCTAGTGCTGGATGTCTTTGTCTGTAATGGGAATGGCTGATCCAAACAACAGTTTCACTGTTTGTGTGTGGAACTTGATTAGAGCTTGCATCAAAGACCTCTCTTCCATTGTGACAGCTATGTGTATCTACGTGGTGGAAGAAACCAGTAATGGATGCCTGATTGACTTTGGTCTAAAGTAACCCTGTGGCTGCCCATGCTTAATCAATTACATATAAGATGAATTTTTTTGGTGAAGTACTTCAATACTTAAATAGCAATGCTAGGATGAATTCCTGTTTCGTAGCAACTTAAATACTGAACCATGCAGCAATAAAACAGCAAGATAGCAGGGATTAAACTGTCAAAAATAAACATCCCTTTTCATGTTGAGTTTTCAAATCTGTTGGGCTTGAGAAAAGTTTAAAAGAAATTTAATTACCGGCAGTAATGTTTGCTGATAAAACTCATGCTCTGCACTGTACAATATAGAAATATTATTTTTTCTTTCATGAGCTGAAGCTTACAAAACCTTTATGTGAAAAGCAAAGCATTATGGCTAAAATCTCTAAATATTGTCACTTGCTATTTTGCTGTGAGAGAAACCAGAGGTTCGTCCACAGAGAGACTGACATGAGTAGATGAAATTAACCTCTGAGCATGAATCCAGCTGCAGACTGGTATATGACTAAAGTGCCGCGTAAGCCCTCAGAGCAGACTTTCTGCTTATCTTCTGCACAGGGGTATTTTCACTCAGTACAAACTCTACCTATATTCCTTAGGTCTTTAATATCCTGATATTAGTGTGTCTGTGGACTTTTATGAATAGGATTAAAAAAAAAAAAGTAATCTGCTTCTTGTGTGAGAAGGTTGGGGCAAAACAAAAGTATGAAAATTGCCCCTTTTACTGAAGAGCCATATAAGATCTATTATGTGTCTGGTGGATGTAACTCTACTTAGAAATCAGGTCCTCAGATACTCCAGGAAATAATAACCTAGGAAGGGCCTCAACTTAAGTAAATTAAATAGTGTGTAATGTTATAGTATTGGAGTCATTATGATTGATGGAAGATATTAGAACATAAGTCTGTGAAGTAACTGGCATTATTTAAGGTATTACCAAAACATTAGTTTGTATTACATTTTCATTGTGTATGAAATAATGTTGGATGATTACAGCTCACAACTGAAATTTAATTCTCATATTTGCTTTTAGAAATCTGTCATCATGATTTACCTAAAGACAGTTGCAGTTTCTAATCACCTGTTGAGTAGGTGCTATATACCTATGTGTGGATATATATATATAAACACTCTGTGACAGTAACTAAATGTGTGAACATATGTAGACATAGACATATGCATAAAACATATTTATTTTAAAAATGTCCATTAAGTATTATCTCATGAAGTTGAGCATGCCAAAATTAGAAAGCATGAGAAGGTACTGGGCCTGGGTGGCCTAAATTGTGTTTCTTTTTGCATTGTAGTACAATCTTTCATTAGCCAAATCCATTTTTCCATAGGACCCTTGCTTCGTTCACTGCATGATCTAGGTGGTACTCAAGGAGTCAGGCAGCCGTTTAACTTTCTTCTGTATGTTTGACCTCCTGCCTTCCTTATCATGCAACATCCAAATTCAGCACTGAATCACTTCTTTGTGAGAATAGTGTATGACATTTGTTACTAAAACATCTGAGTGCCTCATAATCCATAGTTAATTGATGGTCATAAGACTTTCATGGGACTAGAAAGAATTTTTGTTCCTATTTTGTAGGTGGGAAATTGATGCACAAAGATATCGCTGCCTATACTTTGCATTGTCTTGTGGTGATTTAACAGCTATTAGCCCAAGTCATATGAGTCATGGTGACATCACTGACTTTGTACTGTATGGGCTGTGTGACTATTTGTGAGATGTAAGAGTATAATATCCTTAGTGGCTGCCCTTTAAGAGGGTAAGGGAACTATTGCTGCAGTGGATATTTAAGACCTGTTGTATCTCAAGGAGTGTCTGAGCATGGATTTTTTTTCCCCATGCTCTCAAAATTCATGCTTGTCTCTGATACAGCAATTGGACATGCTGACTGCAACATGTAGAGTCAGGGTATCACAAGTGCAGCAGCATTTTCTTTCAGATGACAGTCCCATTATGCCATAAATGTATATCACAGTCAAGCTCCTCTGAGTCCTTTCAGTCTCAGACACCCCTTTGCATGAGTTTTCATTTCAGTGTCACAGAATCAGCATCATCCATTCAGATCACTGTCGCATTCAAGCCCACTTTTTTGTGCATTGTTAAAATAAAGTTGCTTAATTCTAGTGTCAAGAAAATGGATGTTGGTATTTTTTTGGTGTCTCCCAACACTGTATTAGTTTTAAAAAGGCATAAAAAGGATCTTATTCACTTTTCTTGTTTTCTCCCAGTGAATGTCCCTTCGACTGTAATGGAGGCCATGTCCAGACAAGACACCCTACAGCCATTTAATAAAAGTAGCAAACTATCCCCTGCCACTCCACAGCGATCCATAGTATTTCCACAGACTCCGTGTAGCAGAAATTTTTCTCTCCTGGATAAGTCTGGGTCCATCGAGTCAGGATTTAACCAGATCAGTGTCAAAAACCAACGAGTTCTTGCAAGCCCAACTTCAACAAGCCAACTAAATTCTGAGTTCAGTGACTGGCATCTTTGGAAATGTGGGCAATGCTTTAAGACTTTCACCCAGCGGATCCTCTTACAGATGCATGTGTGTACGCAGAACCCTGACAGGTAAAGCCCAGGCTCTCTTTATTTCTGTATCTACTGATAGCCAGATCCACTGCTTTCTTCTTTTATCAAGCTGTTATCGTTTCCAAACCCAAACCATTATTAGGAGGAGCCTGTACGACATAATTCATCTGCAGCTGTGTGAAGTAAGCCGATAAAAACATTGCTTGACTTCACTATTTATAAAAACATTTGGTGCCTAAATGTGCAGATAAAAGGAAATAGCTAAGGATATAATCTTGTTTTTGGAATGGTTTGGTACATCTGATGGAGGCAACAAAACAGAAGGAAAATTTATGAATATCATAGGTGGAAAAATGAGGTCAAGATAATTAAAAGTCTCTCTGTCTTCCAAAGATAATCTAACTTGCTGCTCAGTGGCTGTCACAGTCATTTCAGGGTTCACCTATAGTGTGCAATGTGTATGAACTTAATTAAGTACTAAGAGGTAATGAATTGGAATTTTTTGCTTAGTACTATTTTTCTTCAGAGCATGCAAACCCATAAATCGTGCAAAGCTGTCAAAAGGAAATACCTACTCCACTAGTGATGTGGAGGAAAACAGATGCCACTTATTCAATAAACTAATATCCACACAGAAGAAAAATGTTGACTAGATACCTCAGAGTCAAAGTTGGTTTGAAAGTTTGTCAATACAGAATTTTATGGCCGTGAACTGAGGATGAAATTTAGCTGAACAAGTGAATTAAAATTTCAGGTACTCTGACCGGTGGCACAGTAAATATAATGGAACCATTATTTATGAATCAAAGCTGGTTTATTTGACAATTTTGATAGCTGGCAGGACAAAAGACAAAAATCAAATTAATTCAATAAAAAAGGCTTGTCCATCTTTTGTCTCTTCTTCATCTGTGAAGAAGGTTTGAGCAGAACAGCTGAATCCCTGGAAGGTTGTTCTAAAAGCAGCATTTAAGTGTGAAACACATTTAACCAAAACACTACCAAAAAATAATCAACAGTGAGTCTGTGTGTATGTTTGTAGACATGTCTATGTCTCATTGTGTACGTGGTTATCTACGTGTACGCATATGCTTGTGTGATTCTGTGGGTGTGAAGATATTGGAGCATAAATACATTTTTCCAGGAAGAAATGTCAAGCATGCTAGGGGCAAACTAGATTCCATGCAATTCTTCATAGAATGTAAGGAGTTGATAATATTGTGAATGCAAACGAGCCCTTTAAACGTTTTCTGAATTTTATTCTGGCCTTAGCAGAAACAAACATCATGCTAAAGAAGCTGCAGGACACAACTGCCAATTTAAGTGCCACAATGTAGAATAGAGGTCCCAAAAGTTCCGCTTTCCTAATTTTCACGGACTCTTATGTTTCCAGTATTAGAGCATCCTAAAGATACTGTAAAGCATAAAATGCTCTGTCAAGGACTCTAAAGGATTTATGTTGTGAGGCTGTCCAAATACTTTTTCAGTGATTCATCCAAGCAGGTGTGATGCCTAGATTTCATCCTTTCCTTCACTTGAACCTGTGTCTTCCTTTTTGAAGAACCAAGCTGCAGATAATACTTAATGCAAGAAGAGATTTCCCTAATGGGGTTGTTCTGCACCCTAAGGGATGGTTAGATGATCATTTTGCTGGAGAGAAAAAGTTAGGATAACCGTATCCTACAATTACATCTGTCATCTTGGAGGCGAGAGATTTGATTTTTTAATTTTTATTTATTTTTATTTATTTCCTCCTAAGTATCTTGTTTAAAATATTGCCTGAAACACAGGCTGGATTTTAAGTCTTCCCCCCTCAGAAGTGAACACCCTCATCTGTAGGCTACTGGTTCATGACACCTTACTGTTTTGTCACTCCTGTGCCTACCTAATTTGTCCATGCAGAACAGCTTCAACAAGAAAGTGTAGAGCTCTTTTTTTAGCTCAGAATACCCTACAGCATAGTAGGAAAATTATTTAGATCAGAAGACAAGTTGAATCCCCTAGGAGCAAAGAGACCAAAGGGTGATTAGAGAAAGGACTCAGCAGATTTGGGGAGGATTGGGTTGGAGAGGAGGTAAGTAAAGACTCTGAGTTGGAAGTGTTGAATCCCAGAAGCTTTCATGAAGATTCAAAATATAATGCCTTTTTCTCAATATTGACCCTGGATAATTTAGCTGGTTTCCTCTTTAGCTTGTTGGGTTTTGCAAATCCTGTTCTTAAGAAACTTTTCCTCTGGTGTTACATAGAGAGCATAAAACCTAAATGAGGTTGCAGTATACACTTAGGATCAATCTGTTGCATAAATACTAGGTACTGCAGTGCTCTGTTCTGTGACACCTGTGTTCCCTCTGTATTGAAAAATGGCTTACATCTCTATGTTTTCATTAAATAAATAGTGCAGACTCCTTGTGAAGGCCAGTTTTGTAATACCTTCTTTGTTCCCGCGGGGTGTGCCATCAACATAACTGCTGTAAAAGCATTTCCCAGTAAGTCTTCTTTAGAGCGTTACGCGGGACGTCAGTCACATGAATCCGTTTAAGCTCACTGCAATTCATTCAGTGTTTAAAATTACCAGAATAACAGTTACTGCAGCTCATAAGTGCCCTTGGATCTGGGTTCTCATACCCTTGGTTAGAAATCATTATAGGTTGAGCTTACATCACAGGCAGCTCTTTGTATTTTAGCAGGTACAGGATCAGCTATTTAGTGGTATAGCGGCTGGAAAAGAGCTCTCTTTGGTTTCCCGAAATATTTTTTTTTTTGAAAAATTCCTAAAGTGTTGTACAAAATTTCCTGGAGACAAGGGTATGATTTGTGAAAGAATACCTGCTTGCCAGCCTGAAGTACTGAGGGCACCTCTCCGGTGTGTATTTCCTCAGCGGTATCTGCCGCACCGCTCCAGCTGATAAACAGCTCCCCATT